ATATATATATATATATTGATTTATTGTGATTTTATTTCTCTTCAAATATAGATCTTTAAATGCTGCTCATCCCGCACTTACTGGCATAAACAGCAATCCAACTTTTGTGCATAATGGAGGTTAATTCTAACATCTAACGACAGAGAGTGTGTATGTGCAGATCTTCTAAAATGCTAATTCATTTAAATTTGAAACAGTGCATAAAGATTTAAAACAAACGTATCATGAAAAGAACCACTTAAACATCACCTTTTTGAACTTACTGTTTATGGCTGACTTCCTCCACAGCTCTGTGACAGATCTGGCAAACACGTCATCCTTTTTTTCTTGACTTCCGTCTTTTTTTTTCTCTCATTTCATTGATTTTGCCAATAAAAATCAAGGCCTCGAAGTTGCTATGGTTTCTTTGAATTCCAGCACAGTGGTGATTCGCTGTTGAGGAAACCATGATCGACGTGGAGCTGTGTGAATAGGAAGCTTAATGTTACCCTGGTAGAATGTGCTGTATTCATATTTATTTTAAGGGCATTGGTTAGACAGTCATCTCAATGGTTTCATTCACTGGTTGGTATGTGCTGAATTTATGTCATGGCAGATCGAAAACTGTGTGGCAAAAAATGATTACTTTTTATGTAAATCACTCAAAGAATAGCTTTAAACACAATTACAATTTTTGCTGAAAGCACAATTTCATGAGTCTTTGTGATTCAAGAAGTACTGACATTGATTTAGTTTTAGTTATTTTGTATCTTATAATTCTGTTTACTGTGTAAAAAATAACGAGTTTTATTGAATCTATCCACCATCTGTTTTTACCCATCCAAAATACTGTATAACAGGGCCTGTTTTGTAAATTACAGGGTAAAACGAAAAGTACAAAAAGTCAATAATTCAATATTTAGCTCATAATTAGGTTGATTTTTTTGATATTACTAATTGTTTTTTGCTTACACAACAATGTGCTTGCACTTCCTCCAGCCAATGCATGGGCTTGAGGGGCATTCCCACCCTGGGTGACATGGTGGACATGTGGGGCATGTAATTACAACATGTGACGTAAGTACAAGATGTGACAAAGAAAAAGAGAAGACTTTATTTCTAAATCGATGAAAAAAAAATCTGGATGGATGACCCAGCTAATACTCCACTTGAAAAGCGTGCAGAGTACCAACAGTCCGAGGACTGCTACATGGCTTGGCATGATGGACCCATTCAGAGACAAGGACAGAAAAGCTTGAAAAAAAAATTAAGACAGGTTTAAGCTTTCTACTTCAGTCACAGCAATGAGCTACTTTATTAAATTAAAAAAAATAAAATAAATAAATAAATAAATAAATAAATAAATAAATAAATAAATAAATAAATTCCAAGCTGAAAAATCTAATAAAAACAGTATTGGTAAAAAAAATTAAGTATCAAAGTCATTAGCATGTCAGTGTGATATCAGTTATGTGTGACAATAGGTTATTTCTCCCAAATATTTCATTTGTTTCACATACTGTATTACTCTGAATTGTTTTTTTAATGCTAGAGTTAATAAAGACTAATTAGAGCCATTTACATCAAAATACTCTCATAATTTTTAACTGTTTTGTGCACAGATTGAATTTTTATAAAGCTTTTAAAAAAATGATTGCACATTTCATTTCATCACAATTTAAACTGAAAAAGCAGGGACAATTAGAGAAATACTTTTTCATTATTTTAGCAAAGCGTTGTTTCTATTTTAGTTTTTTAATTTAAAAAACAGTCTGAGTGACAAAAAGTCACAAGAAAATGTTCTTACCAAAAACAACATAGTGCTTTTTATGAAACACTTGCATTGTGGCATTTACATGGATATTACTTTGACCCTTGCTGTCAACCTGCACATCTTTGCAGAATCCCACCCACACACACACACACACACACACACACACACACACACACACACACACAC